AAATCAATACAGAGGTTTCTCAAAAGACTTGGGTTGGACCTACCATATGACCCAGCTATACCATTCCTCTGTATTTATCCTAAATAATTAAAGTCATCATGATATAGGCATACCCGTATTTATAGCAGCACAATTCATAATAGCCAAACTATGGAACCAGCCTCGGTGTCCATTGATGCATGAAGGGATAAAGAAAATGTGGTATATATACAAAAAGAAGTTTTACTCACCCACAAAGAATAATGACATTAATGTCATTTGCAGGAAAATGGATGGAACTTGAGAACATTATATTAAGTAAAATAAGCCAAACTCAAAGTCAAGGGTTGTTTTTCTGTTACATGGAAGCAAGAAAGTAAACAGGAAAAGAAATGTTGGGTTGGAGGAGGGTCTCAGAAAAATTGAAGGGCGATCAATCAGTACTGTAGAGGAAAGGGACCAGGGAGAGGGGAAAGGGTAAAAATTGGGGTATGGTATTGGCTAAATGACATTGTTATATTGTGCGCATGTATGAATATATAATGAATCCTACCATTATGTGCAAGTTATACTAATAAAAATATGGGAAGTTAAAAAAAATAGTAAAGTATAAAAAAATTCTAACAGTTTTAGATTTCATATGGCAACTAACCTTTAAGAAACTACCACTAACCAACTTTCAGAGAAAAATATAATTATCTGGAAAGACTATTTATTAAAATAAGCCTTTTCTTCCCCTCTACATATCTGAATGAGGCTAAATTTTCTTCATTTACTTCAAGATGACACATGGAGTTGATGTAATACTGAAGCAGATATGAAAATCCAGGAGTCTTCTTAAACTAGCTCTAACAAGACTTGCAAAAATGTCAGAGTAATGATACTTTAATTGAATTTCCTTTTTGTTTTGTGTAAGTAATTTTTAATAAAAATGTTAAGATGTGGGACTGGGGTTGTGGCTCAGGGGTAGAGCGCTTGCCTTGAACACGGTGAGGCACTGGGCTCGATCCTCAGTACCACATAAAATAAATAAATTAGTAAAACAAAGATAAAGTGTCCATGTTCAACTAAAAAAAATTTTAAAAATTTAAGATATGATGTAACACATGTTAAGATATAATAATAATCTCATTATTATTGAAAGGTTAGAAAGAATTAATACATATTTTTAAGGTCTTATTTATTTTTGAGGTGGGATCTCACACTGTTGGGTTCAAATGATCTTCCTTCTTCAGCATCCCCAGTACCTCAGACTACAGGTGCATACCACTATGCCTGGCTAAATTTCTCATAGTCATCCATAGAACTCACATGTCAAGAAAATCTTTTTGGACCTTGAGTTATCTTTAAAAATGCAAAAGATTTCAAAGAACAAAATGTTTGTGAATTCTAGAATAACATTGACTTCAAGATACATTGTTAGGAAAAGTGTGGATCAGTGTGGTTACAACCTTGTATTTGTGCCACAGGAGCTATAAATGAAGCACTGATTTTCTTATATGGCATGAAATTCTCCTGGAAGGTTACAAAAGAATTAAGTGGTAGTTGCTTCAGGGAGAAAGGAGTTAAAAGTAAAACTCTACTTATCGGAAATTAATGGTTTCCTAATTGGAACAAGTTATACCTACTCTATGTATGTAAATAGTATTTCAAAATATACTGTCATGTGAAAAGAAAATAAAACCAATTATGAATGTTAAAAAAAAAAAGTAAAACTCTAAACCCATTTGAACTAATTTTAAACCAAGTGAATGTATAACCCCTGCCCTCAGGCATGAACATACATGAAAGAAAAAAGCATTCCCACTCAGCTATGTTGTTCATTTCAGAGAATCTAGGCATATTATGAAAAGTTGGGGCAACTTTGGAATAATGATTATTAGTTTTTCTGGCAGCTTGCTTTTTCTTGTTTTATTTGAGAAAATAATTTAATGTCCAAGCCAAATATTGTTATGTTGAAATAATGTAAATCAACTAGGTAACAATTAATGGGGCTGAGGTATGCTGAACTTAAGTTTGAAGAAAAAAACAACTTGGATAGACTTTTTTTAAATGGCATTCATTTCTAGGTTTCTGGAAAAGTTTGAGTTTACTTTAGAAGACTTAAAATTTCTAGTCTTGTCATTTAAAAGGTTTTGAATAAGTGCTGCATGAAATGTGGAAAGAAAGTAAGTATTCTAACATTGATTCAATACAAAAAGTACTTTTTAATACTCAGAACCTTTGAGGCTTTGGGAATTCTTGAAAAAAATAACTGAGGAACTCAATTTTATTTGTGCTGCCTGCTGTTAAATGTGCCTTTCGATCAGTGCTCTTATAACTTTTGGATAAAATGTCCTTTTATGAAAAGGGAAAATTATTTTAATGTAATAGCTTTTAAGATTTTCTTTTCTCACATAATACTTCTAAATTTATTTCTTTGAATGCTAAAATATCATTTCTAGAGTTCTTTGAAGCAGTTTAAAAGATGATATTGTGATTGTTTTATTAATGGTAGTTTCAAGTTTGCCTATAATATGGAACCATTTTAATGCTTTTTAAAATGTTAATGGATCTTAAAGAATTGGGCCTGTGTGAAGTTAATTGGAAACGAGTTTTATTTACTCTTCCTAGTTATATATACATGTACAAGTAAGTACTTGACATTTTCCTAAGCACTTCCACATTATTTTCTTTGATTCTAAGCACATCTTGGAAGTAGCACAGTTGGTGTTTTTTCTATTTAAAATGAAAATTGAAATTCAGGAGGCTAAATGATTTGGCAATGCCAGATAGCTTTGTTAAATAGTGAAACAGGGATTTATATTTAAAAGCCACAGATGGATGATTTCACCATGTCCAAGTTTGTTTCTTTTGGTACTGAGGATTGAACCCCAGGGGCGCTTAACCACTGAGTCATATCCCCAGCCGTTTTTTATATTTTATCTAGAGATAGTGTCTCACTGAGTTGGTTAGGGCCTCACTAAGTTGCTGAGGCTGGCTTTGAACTCATGATCCTCCTGCCTCAGTCTTCCAAGCCAGTGGGATTGCAGGCATGTGCCACCATACCCAGCTCCAAGTTTCTTTCTTACTGTTCTGGAGGCTGGGACATCCACTGTAAAGTGCTAGTTGATTCAGTGCCTTGTGAGGATTCCCCTCTTGGCTGAGAGATGGCTGTCCCCTCAGAAGCCCCCACATAGCCAGTCCTCTGAGCCATGTTGAAGGAACAAAGATAAGGAATAGCAAACTCTTTGTTTCTTCTTGTAAGAACACTAATTCTATAGGAATAGGGCCCCACCTTATGACCTCATGTAACGTTAATTATATCCTCATTCCAAATTCAGCTGCACTGGGGGACTAGGGCTTCAATATGTAATTTTGGAAGGAAAAACACATTCATCCTGAACATAATATATTAAGTTGGAAGTACTCTCTTGATGGCTTTGTGACTTGATATTTTGTAACAAGGAGAGTTAAATAGGAGACATGCATTATAATTTTACTACTTTCCAGAGCTGCAGATATATGTGGAATATTTAATTCCTGCTTTCTCTAATAATTTTATAACTGGTTAGCTTCAGAAGCTGTTTAGAACCCAGCTGGCATAGAACTTTAAATGTTACTCTATTTATTTCTAATAACATATTGAGCCTCTACTACTTTCTTGAATCTCGTCCACCCATCCAGTGGTTCATATGAAAAATGTCTAAATAATTCAGTGTTAATTTTTCAAATCATACTTCATTTTGATTGCACCTTTTTATGAGAGCAGGCCTTTTAATTAACGTGTTAGGGTTATATGATTTTTAAAGATAACTAAGTCAAAGCTCAGTTTTACATAGCAGACTTTGAAACAAATTTCAGAGTGTAAGTAAGTGTCTCTCCTTTTCTTTCTTGTGAATCTCAGTATGAATTTTGGATTCCTTTGAAGCCTGTTTGCTTTTCAGATTATGGTTGTTTCTGCATTCAGTAGCATATGTTATAACTATGTGTGGAATATCGATCTTAAAAATAGTTTGCTAGAATGATCACGTGTGTGTTCTTTCTCACAGGCCAGCCCTCCAGATCTCTATATTGAAAGATTTAATATAGCTCTTGGACAATATATGGGAGCATTGCAGAGTATTGTGCCTCTTTTCATATATATGGTAAGTTTGAGTTGTTTCCTCCTTTCCAAAAGAAGCAAAGTTAAACGTGTTCCTGCTTTTTTAAAAAAACTATTTTGTGGAATTTTCATATTGTAAAATGAAAATTAATTCAGTAATGTTTAATAGTTGTTAACATAGAAGAATTATATATTTTTCCCTTTGTCTGTTTTGAAATTCCCTAAGTAACAATTGCTTGAATAGTCACCTAGGCATTAGTAATTAGCAGTCATCCAATGATTCATTGTATTCATTGTATTTCTGGTCATGTGGAATGGACTGTGCTTGGTCCTGGGAAAATAAAAGATACATAAGATTTCTTGTCCTTAGAAAGCAGTTAAGACATGTATCTAAAAATATGATGTATGAAAAATGCCAAGTTAAGTCATCCATAAAAAGTGGAAAAATAAAATGCTTCCAATCTGATGTTCTCTTTTGCTTGGAGAGTTATGCCAGAAGTATAATTTGTAGACTGTAACTTGTTGATTAATTTCTTCCTTTTCCTTCTTTTAAATATAGAATCATTTAATGTTAATGTTCCTAAATGGGGAGAGCCCTAGAAATCATTATTCCAACTCTTCTTTGTTAGATTAGGGAATGGGATATTTGGTTGTTTCTGCATTCTGTAGCATATATATTGCTGTGTATGGAATATTAGTCTTAAAAGTGACTTATTCTTCATAAACTGTACTTTATTTAAAACGAAAACAAAGCTGCCTCTAGTTATTTCTGATTTAGAAGGTATTTTCCAAAAGATCTTGTACTTCAAGATTTTCATTTGAATTAAATTATTGTTTTGGTACTGATAACAATTGTAAAAGTTAATAAGGGTTTATAGTTAATGCAAAAGAAGCTTATATTTGCCTGTTGTTTTACAAAGACTTTATCTTAGGAGAAAGTGATAAAGAGGCTTTGCTTTTGGTTTAAGTGCCAGAACTTCTTTATGAATCATGATACTAGTCAAAAATATTAGCTGGCTGAAGTGTTACATACCTGTAATTCCAGCTATTTAAAGGGCTAAGGCAAGAGGACCACAAGTTTGAGGCCAGCTTGGCAACACTTTAGTGAGACCCTGTCTCAAAGTAAGACTTCAGAAAAGAACTGGGATGTAGCCCAGTGGGGAGTACTTGCTTAGCATGTATCATACCCTGGGTTCAATCCCTAGTACCTCCTCCACAAACACAGACACACACAGTTAATAGTATTAGTCACCTGGGTTGGCTGGGTTAATTCTTGGGATGGGTCAGAAAGCCTGGGAGACAGCCGAGTATCATTTTGGTGAAATTCTCTAGGGTTATTCATCAGGAGTATTTGTTAGGTATAGTAGATATTTCATTCCCATTCTAGTAAATTCCTTATTTCTGCTGTTCTAAAATTTTCAGTAGAAATGATGAGTGAAATCAGAGCATGAAGGATAGAGCCTCAGGCCTAGTTGTGGAAAAGGGGAGATAAGGGTAGATGAGTAGGTTTATTTACCTCCACGTCTGCCATTTACAC